CCCCCTGGGTCTTGGGGCTGTTCCCCGTGAAGAGATAATGCTCCAGGGGTACGGGACGGGCAACAGTGCTGATCACATAGATCTGGCGCCGTTTCAGTCGCCTGAATGGGTAGAAATGAGCAGGTCAGTGGCAAGAGTGCGAGAAGTAACCCACATCCCCACCACCTTCCCCCTCCAGCTTCACCCAGTCTTTTTTTTTTTTTTTTAGTTTTTTTTTAATGTTTGTTTATTTTTGAAAGAGACAGTGAGACACAGCATGAGCAAGGGAGGGCCAGAGACAGAGGGAGACACAGAATCTGAAGCAGGCTCCAGGCTCTGTCAGCACAGAGCCCGACATGGGGATCAATCCACAAACCATGAGATTATGACCTGAGCCAAAGTCAGACGCTTAACCGACTGAACCACCCAGGCACCCCAAGCTTCACCCAGTTTTTTCTGAGAGCCAGACTGCAAGGTGGCCCCATCATCCCATCTCCCAAGACACAAAATGATCTGGGTCCAAGTGGGGTCCTGAAGTCGCCTGAGTCAGACACGTGCCCCAGCCCCAACCCTCCCTCCTCTCCACCCCCAAGACACTCTCCTTGCTGTGGCAGTCTTCACCCCCACCCCTAACCAAGGAATGCTGCAGCCCCCTTCATCCAAGCATCCCAGGGCACGCATCTCACCCGATCCAGTCAGCGAACTCAAGGGCATTGGGGACGGTAGCACTCAGAAGGATGATGGAGACATGGTCAGGGAGCATGATAAGCACTTCCTCCCACACAACCCCACGCTGGGCAGAGAGAGAAGACCGGTCACTGTCAGCTCAGAGGGGACTGCCCTTCTGCCCCTGGGGAAGCGCCCAGGGTTACATTTGAGGGCAAAGAAGGCAGTTAAGGTCCACAAAGGTGTGTGCACCAGGATGTGCGATCTAGACCCACAGGAGAGGACTACTGGGGTGTGGGGCCCCCAGGCCTCTTACCTCAGCATCGTTGATGTAGTGAACCTCATCAAAGATGACCCACTCTAGGTCCCGGATGACATCTGAACCGCTGTACAGCATGGAGCTGGGGAGAAGAGGCCAAAGGCTGATTCCCCAGTGACTCCTGTCTCCACCCTGTTCTCAGTCAACGTGCTGTCCAGAGCAGCCTAACCTTCCTGACCAAAAATCCACCCGTGTTAAGTGCCTATCTCTCACCGAAGGATCTCGGTCGTCATAATGAGGCAGGAGGCCTCCGGGTGCAGCTGTACGTCCCCAGTGAGCAGCCCCACATCTCCGAAAGTGTTTCGAAAGTCTCGGAACTTCTGGTTGCTCAGGGCCTTGATGGGCGAAGTGTAGATGGTGCTGGGAAGAGGGCATGAAGTCAGCACCACCTCCTGGTCAGCAGTGCCCTTCCACCCCAAGCCCCCACAGAAGCATGCCAGAACCCAGGTGCCTCCCTTCCCCCCCTGAACTGGCCTCACATTCTCCTTCATGACACGACCCCACAAAAACTCTTCCTAAGCTGACCCAGGTCTCCTTTTTTTTTTTTTTTTTTTTTTTTTTTTTTTATTTTAAACATTTATTTATTTATCTTTGAGAGAGACAGAGTGCGAACAGGGGAGGGACAGAGAGAGAGAGGGAGACAGAGAATCCCAAACAGGCTCTGCACTGTCAGCCCAATGTGGGGCTCAAACCCACGAACCATGAGATCATGACCTGAGCCCAAGTTGGATGCTTACCCAACTGAGCTATCCAGGCACCCCACGCAGGTCTTCTAACTGCTCTCCCCGCCACACCTTCCCACTCCACTCCTGGCCCTATCTCAGTCTTTCCCCAAACCTCCCATCTGAAGGATGAGGTAGCGGTGGGGAAGAGATGACACTTAGAAAGGGTGCAGGAGAACACAGGGCCAGCTGGTGAAGGAAGAGGCTGGGGAGGGGACCTATACCGTGTCATGTGTTTCTGGGCAAGGGCAATGGCATATTCAGCCACAACCGTCTTCCCCGCAGATGTGTGAGCTGCTACAAAGACAGAGTCATGCCGCTCCAAGTGCAAGATGGCCTGTTTCTGAAACACATCCGGCTCAAATGCCCACTGTGGGAGAGAGAAATAGATGGGGGCCAGGCCGGAAAAAGGAAAGGGGCCCTCCTGCCTCCAGTTCTAAGGGCATGCAAGGTGGCTCTGGCATGCCAGAGCGAAGCAAGGCTGGGAGTGAGGCCCAAGACTAAGATAGAAGGCATCTGGCCTCTGTGGGGAGAGGAGATGAAGGGAGCAGCGGGGAGGAGGTAGGGGAGCATGTGAGGACTGGGCCACACTACCTGGAAAGCAGGCTGGGGAATGAGGCGGTAGAAATCACCAACAGGGGAGGTGACATCCACGGGAATAGCCCACTGCTCCTGAGGCAGGGGTTTGGGGGGCTCTGGGGGGGATTCAGCTGTGGATGCTTCCTGGAAAAGCCAGGGGTAGAGGTGATAAAGATACAGTCAGAGAGCTCTCTGTTACCACTCCTCCCCAAAGATGCTCCGGTTTTCCTCTTAGACCCAACCAAGCCAGCCGCCCCACCCCCACCCCCAGCCCCCCAGTAAGGCCTCTTCTTTCCTGCCTCAACTGCCCAAAACCACCAACCTTCAACACTAGGTCCTCCAAGCTGCTTGCTCGGGCCAGGGAAGCACTGCAGGGGGGTGCTGAAACAGTGTCTCCTCTGGGAATTCCTGGCTGGCCCACTGTCTCACTCTCATCCTCATCGCCCCCCCCCAAATCCAGAGGTTCCAGCAAACGGCTGAGGCTGAGCAAGCCGGGAGCTGGAGCCGGGTGATCTGAGGAGCAAAGGCAAAAAGTGAAACCTGGTCATGTCCATCTCTGTTCCACTGGAGAAGGCCACCACTCCTACACTCCACCTCAAAACTAAAACTCACCCTTCGGTGCAAAGTCCACACCTTTCTTGAAGCCAGGTGGGACAGTAAGAAGATCTGAAAAACAAGGACAAAGAGAATCAGCATTAGTGCACAGAGTCATATAAGTCATACGATACCTAATGCTACAGGATGCCATTCACAGCAGAGACGTTGAAAATGGGGTTCTTTGCCATCTTTCCAACAGATGACAGTAAAGACTGTTATGACAAGGGTGCCTTTCCCTAATTTTCTCAAAGACACAGAGGACTAACAGTGGCCCACTGATAGGCTTGGGCCCCTCTTCCTCAGGGCTGACTCACAGCCCTACTCCCAAGGGTCCATCCTGGCACCGCCTCACCTTTCTCAAAGTCTATCTCTTCCTCAGCCTCCTCCCGAGTGCTCAGATCTGTTATGGTAGGCTCATCCATTCCACCTGGGGAGAGGGTAGACAAACAGGGATTCATGGGGTGGGGTGATACGAGATGGGTGGGGAACCCTTTCCTGGAGACTGAGGGCACCCTCTCCTACCATCCCATTTTCCACAAGTCACCTGGCCAGAAAGGGTATTGTGTTGGATTCCCCCACAGGGACTGGGAGACGGGCCCTGGGGGCCGGCGAAGAGACAAGGAGGTGGTGGCTGATAGGTTTGTATTCTCCAGCAGGACCTGAGGCAAGAGACCACAGCCCCAGTGAGGCTGAGCTTGCCTCGGACCCTTTCCCAACTCTGCTTCTTACGGCCCCTGACCTCTTACCTCTTTGTAGCCCAGTATCTGGCCTGTGGTTGGGTGTCTTTGGGCCTGAAGGTCTGAGGGGACAGGGGCCCCCAGTGTGGCCAGGAGGGACCAGGGATCCATCTTCCTCTGCCATTTTCTGCAATGAAAACACTTTTCAGGTCTTCTTTCTCTCCTCTCCCAGTTTCCTTCAGGGGCCTATCTCCCTAGTCCAGGCCCCTCCAGACCCCTCACCGGGCTGAGTGCTCCACACCATGCAGAGGCAACCAGGCTGGAGATGATAAAAACAATTGCTCTGTTTCCTGCTGCAGATTGGGGGCACAGGGAGGGAGGCCGTGGGGAAGCTGGTAAAGGACAAGACGAAAGGCATTAGGTAAGGAGAGAACAGAAGACATAGACAAAAAAGACAGTGATGTGATTTGTGTTGAAACCAGAAATGGTAGACATTCTAGACCGACTAGGACTGTCAAGCTGAAGCAATGTTTTCCAAAGATTATCTTGCTTTACAGGGCAAACTACCTGCTACTGATTTACCTGGAGCAGTGGTTACTAAAACAGTACGATACAACATGAAATACAATCATTCCACAATCTCTGGGGCTGCGCTTAAGAATATGTATTTTTAAAAATCCCCCATCCCCACTAATTATGATGTACACTTAAATTTGAGAACCACTAGTTTTAGGAAAAGGGGGCCCAGGACTAAGGATGAGAGTCAGGGCCTCAAAGCCTAGCCACCAACAAAGTGCCCTGGTGCTTGGAGACAGGTGACTCCAAAAAGAAAAAACACATTTGGAAGCACAATCCACTGGGCTGGGGTCTGTCCAGCACAAGGCAGGCCCTGATGACAGGAATCCAGAGACAGGAGAATGAGGTTATGCTAGGGTCCAACAGTAAGGATGGTGGAGGAGGTTTTAAGCTCAAAGTGGGTCAAAGGTTAGGGTCAAAAGTCACTCACTGTGCTCTCTGGAGCCCCAGGCACATTCAGCAGCTCCCAGTGCCCTGTGCATCCCAGCTCCACAGGCCGAAGGGGCAGATCCAAGGGATCTGGAGGAGGCAGCACTACAGAGGGAAGGTCAGAGGTCAAAGGTCAAGGGCCACCCCCCCTTAACACTCGTTCTTTCCACCCCCTCCCCCTCACCAAGTCGCTCCGTCTCCATCATCTTGGAGCCCAAGCAGCTGCAGGGCAGACCGGAAGTGCAACGAGAATCCTAGGGGTAAGCCCCGCCCCAAAGCGGGCGGAAGTGGAGGCGACTTCCGTCACACACCCCCGCCGGGGTGGGGATGAGCGCTACCGAGAGGCTGACCTGAGCCGGGGAAGTGCCGGGCGGAAGTGTGTAGCCTTGAGCCGTCTTGGTTACCGCGTTCTCCACCCCTCGCGACGTCATCGCTCTGAGCCAGCTCTCCGTTGCCCGCGCGGGCGCCGCCCGAGACCGTGGGACCCCGGTTACCGCCCCCTCAGGTAAGGTGTTCTCCTTCTCACCCTTCGCCCCTTTTTAACGAGCTCCTTCTCTCTTCTTCCCCTTTTCGTTGCTCTGAGAGCGCTGCGGGGGTTCCACTGCCTCCTGTACCGTTTGGAACCCGCGGTTGCCATACTAACCCCAGCGGGGGTAGGGGGTGTCTGATGCCATCGTCTTGGCGACGGAAGGGGTGCTTCTCCCTTCCCGGGCCACTTGGTCCCTCAAGGCGCTGGTGGCCGTGATTCCTGGAGAGAAGAGGGAATGCTGGTTGAATCCGACGAGCGGGGGCTTGGATGGCAGCCTGGTTTAAGCAAGGGGTAGGGAGAGGCAAAAGACAGGAGTAGGTAGGCCTGGAAGGGTGTGGTTGGGTGCAGTGTGGACGGCGTGTGAACCCTGGGCGGTGACAGTGGAGAAAGATGTCTTGGGCCCTGCCCCTGAACCAGGAGCCACCATGTTGGTGATACCCCCCGGACTGAGCGAGGAGGAGGAGGCTCTGCAGAAGAAATTCAACAAACTCAAGAAAAAGGTGAGGGAGTGTGTGGGGGCGTGGCCCAACCTTTCACAGACTCTACACTCTTGAGAACACCTGGGGTGAGTGTGAGGGATGGGGGGTTCTTCCAGCTCATACCTGGAGACATACCTCCTCTCCGCGAAGCCTCACAAGGGGGCTCTTCCCAAGTCTTGATGTATGCCTTCTCTCTTTTCTGTGTATTCTGCCATCGAGTTGTCTAACTTTTCCATGGCTTTTAGTACCACCACAGGGGTGGTAATCTCCAGGTTTGTTTTTTCAATTCTATCCGAGCTCTTGCTGACAGCCTGCAGATTCCCAGTGTTGCAGCTAGCTATCATCTTTCTATCTATTCTAACTTAGTTCCTTTTCTTGACCTTCCATATAGGACTGACTATATTCAGTTTTCCCATGTGTTTGGAATCAAAATCTCCTCTCTGACATCTCCACTATTTGCATGGCCAAACGTTTGCCAAGTCTTCTTGATTCTTACTCTGAAGTAATGTCTTTTGTTTATTTTTTCCCGCGTATTCCGTAGATCAGGTTTTTGCTGACGCTCACGTAGTCTGTTGTAATGGTTTCTCAAGAAGCTGCTCAGTATGTTTTTGGACAGACTTCCTTCACTCTTATTAAAATGAACCACTGAAATCAAAAAAACTCTGTCTCTCTTTTTCTCAAAACCTGTCAGTGGTTTCCCATTGTCTATACAATACAGCCTTACCTTGGCATCTCTTTCTAGTCAGGTAGAACTATTCACTAGTCCCAAAACATACATTCCCAAAGCCTTCTTATTTCCACATCTTTTCCAGTCTGTGTTCTTTGTCTAAAATGCCCTTTTCTTTCAATCTGTTTTGCATAGTTTCTACCCAGGGTCCAGTTTAATAGTCATTTGGCATCACATAATCTTATTTGCTCTCAGCTACAAGCAATTTGCGCCTCTTACGATCGCTCTTGATAATTGTGTCTAATGGTCTTATTTCTCAGACTGTAAACTTCTTAAGGGGAGGAACAATGTCTCATACTCTTGCATACCCCTGTTACAAAGTAATGGCGTGTCCTTGTTAAATATGCAGGGAATGAATGGATGAAGCCCCCTGAGAAAGGCATGTAGGCTTATGCTTACTTATAGCTCATATCTTAGGGTTCTGGTCCATGGTCAAATTCCTTTTCTTCCACTTCAAAAACTGAGGCTTGGGAAAGCCTCTGAATACAATGGTTTGGCTAGATTACGTATCGCTGGTATTGTAGATGATCCAGTGAATCATGTGTGAGTGGTAGGGCTGCCTCAGTGCACCACTCCAGGGACACCATTTGCATTGTTTTCTGAGAAAGGCGTCCCCTGGAGTGAAGTGTCCAGGGACCTTGGGAGAGGACCTAGCCAGGGACTGGCCCTCACCAACCCCTCTCTTCTCGCTCTCATTCCCAGAAAAAGGCATTGTTGGCTCTGAAGAAGCAAAGTAGTAGCAGCACAGCCAGCCAAGGCGGTGTGAAACGCTGTGAGTGACGGGGGGAACTGGGGATAGACTGGAAATGGGCAACATGGCGCTGACCTCTCTCAGAGCGTGGCCAAAATAATGCCTCCTTCCCTCACCACTCCAGCACTGTCAGAGCAGCCTGTGGTGGACACAGCCACGGCAACAGAGCAGGCAAAGCAGCTGGTGAAGTCAGGAGCCATCAGTGCCATCAAGGCCGAGACCAAGAACTCGGGCTTCAAACGTTCTCGAACCCTAGAGGGGAAGTTAAAGGTGAGCACAAGCAGAAGGATTGTTCAGGGGACCCTTGACTTCAGAGGGCGTCCTTCCAAGTTGGAGTGGAGGTAACATTTAGGGGGAAAGTAATGCCTATTCAGTTCTGGGAAAATTGTCGTACCAGTCCGAGTTTCAGGTTTCTTATCTGTAAAATGTGAAGACACTGACTGACTTCCAAATTCCGTATCTCATACATTCTGTGGCACATATTCGAGCTCCTGGGTCTTGTTGTTCTGAGAAGTTGAACAGGTTGAAGATGTCAGCAGGTCCAAGAAATGTACAGATAAGCTAAATACTCTATGTATATATTAGGTCGCTTATGAAAAACACCACATAATCAAATAATAAATGCGCAAAGGAATTAAAAGGGAGGATAAAAGGCCAGAGGAAAGCCAAGAAGAGGGTGAGGGAAGAGGAATCCCTTCTGTCCCATGGTTAGGCAGCCTTCTGCTCTCACATTGAAGTAGACCTCTACGACCTTCCCAGGACCCTGAGAAGGGGCCAGTCCCCACTTTCCAGCCGTTCCAGAGAAGCATATCTGCTGACGACGATCTGCAGGAGGTATGGTTCTCAACTCTCTGTCCCTGAGAGGTTGGGGAATGAGGAAAATGAGAGACCCACATATTTGGGGTCACATGCCATCAACTAGGACTCATCTTAACTGTCCTTGGTTTCTTTTGCAGTCATCCAGACGGCCCCAGAGGAAATCTCTGTATGAGAGGTTAGAGAGCTAGAGAGAGGACTGAGTCCCAATTGGGGGAGTAGGGGAGGTCAATTGCCTGGATCCTTGGGAGGTTTAGGGCTGGAGTGGAAGGAGCTGGGGCTGCAGAGGGAGTGTTGAGTCTCCACAGGGTCTGGGAAGATGAAGTAAAGGGCCCCTTTGATCCTCACTGTCTGCCTCTCCCCAGTTTTGTGTCTTCCAGTGATCGGCTTCGGGAACTAGGGCCAGATGGGGAAGAGGCAGAGGGCCCAGGGGCTGGTGACGGTCCTCCTCGAAGCTTTGACTGGGGCTATGAAGAACGTGGTGGTGCCCGCTCCTCAGCCTCCCCTCCCCGAAGCCGCAGCCGGGACCACAGTCGTGAGCGGAACCGAGACAGAGATCGGGAACGGGATCGAGACCGAGACAGAGACCGAGATCGGGAACGGGATCGAGACCGAGATCGGGAACGGGACCGCGATCGGGACAGGGACCGCGATCGGGACAGGGACCGTGATCGAGAACGAGAGGGCCCTTTCCGCAGTGAGTGATCTGGGCTGGTAGGAAAAGTGAAAGGATTTAGGCAGGTCCCACTAAAGTGGCCTCTTAAAGTGGAGCCTGAGATGGGTTGCACGTTGTGACTGTGACTCCTGACCCCACAGGGTCGGACTCGTTCCCTGAACGCAGGGCCCCTCGGAAGGGGAATACTCTCTATGTGTATGGAGAGGACATGACACCCACCCTCCTCCGTGGGGCCTTCTCTCCCTTTGGAAACATCATTGACCTCTCCATGGACCCACCCAGAAAGTAAGGATGGTAGTGGGACAAGATGATAAGTCCTGGGAGGACCTGGGTTTGAGGGAGAACACCAGCCTATCTCCGGTGGCCTATGAGCACTGGGTTTGGTTGGGTCCACAAGAGCCCATAGGCCCTCTACTGATCCTGTTTTCTCTCATCCTAGCTGTGCCTTCGTCACCTATGAAAAGATGGAATCAGCAGATCAGGCCGTTGCTGAGGTTGGGACTTCCCAGACCTGTTCTTCCCATCCCTACTGCCATCCTCATGTTTTCTCTTTAAAACACTGGGAGCCAGGAGGAAATCATTTCCTCTTGATAGAGGAAGTCTTTTTCTATCCACACAAGAAATGTATTCTTAGATCCTTAGTCTGTTCCTAGGATGGCAACTCTTGAAAATTCTCCTTTTCTTTGTCTGTAATGTTTCCCCCCCCCCATCCTTTACCTCCACCCCTCTTCTTCCCCAGCTCAATGGGACCCAGGTGGAGTCCGTACAGCTCAAAGTCAGCATTGCCCGCAAACAGCCCATGCTGGACGCTGCCACTGGCAAGTCTGTCTGGGGCTCCCTTGGTAAGAATGGATTCTTCCTCTTTAATCCTGTTTCCCACAGCTCACCTCCTCTCTTTGCTCCCCTGCATGTCCCAGGATTCCCTAGAGTTGATAGATGTCTGGATCTGTGTGGAGGCCATGGGAATGAGAATTGTCAGACTCTCTGTCAGTTAGAGATGGAGGAAGATTTCTTAGTGTGAAGGAGAGAGAAGGATTGAGAACAACTCCCGAAGCAGTAATAACTGGAACAGGGAAGAAAGTGGAAGTGAGTGAGGTTAGTGAGTGAGGTTAATGAACATGACCGTGTTTATTTTGAGATGGAGTATAGTTGGCTTTATAAAATAAGCATTTGAAATTAGAGATCTGGAACTTGTGTGTGAAATGAGGACTGAAAACATGGATCACAGTCCTCTGTATCACAGAGTGGCTGCGAAATGGTAGTAATCTCAGGGAAGATTGAATTTGAAGAAAAAAATTACGCAGGCCTGGGCCTGGGGGATATTCAGGGAGCAGCATCAGAGGCCATTAAAACCAAAGAACACAAACTATGGAACCTGGGTAGTGATAGAAGTGTCAAGGTACAAAGATCCAAGAGAATGGAAGCTGGTGTGGGGTGAGTGACTGTAGTCCCAGAATGGCAGGGATAGAATCCTCCGAGATGAGATGCAAGAGGGACATGTCGATGTAGGGAGGAAAAAAAGGGGAAGGAACAACCTGAGGCTCGAAGAATGTTTTAGGCCAAAGCCACACCCAGAATGAGCTCCCCTATTGAGGCTAGTAGCATTTCTTAGTGTGAATAGCCCACTATACCTGTTGGCTTTCCTGGCAAAGGAGTTAGGCAGAAAGGGGCGTTCAGAGCAAGAGTGGCCCTCCAAACTAAAAGAAGGAACAAGAAATGACTAACATGTCAACAAAGGGCTACAGAGATCTTCTAATTTTTAATATTTTGATGTAGTGGGTTAACATCATTCAGTTATCACAACGATTACCTTTGGGAGCTGTTCTAAGAACAAAACATTCCTTGGAGTATCTGCACATGCCACAATAACAGCATGTGCTCCTTGCCATGGGGATGGGTTGGCCTAAGGGAGCCAAAGGGGACAGGCCAGCCTGGCCACCAGAGGGCAGCATTGAAATTGGGCTTCCAAGGGCCAAAGGCAAGGAGAGAGCTGGTCAGACTCTGAGCCTCTGGCCTCACCAGTGCTCAGATGCAATGCTTCAGACCTTAACCAATCCTTTCCTCCCTCCCTAGCTGTCCAGAACAGCCCTAAGGGTTGCCACCGGGACAAGAGGACCCAGATTGTCTACAGTGATGATGTCTACAAGGAGAACCTTGTGGATGGCTTCTAGGGAATGGAGCTGGATTCCGTGTGCCTCATCTGCGCCAACACTGGTCTCAGTAAAACACTGAGGTGGAAGCTCACACATCTCCCTCAGCCTCTGGTTTTTCAGCACTTGGGATTGGGGTCGAGCCTTTAAAAACGGCTGTTAGATTTTATCTCAGTTGTAACACATGGCCAGTGCACGTTCCCCTCCCCCTTACCCCAAAAGGATCTTGAACACAGGTATTGTCGCAGCTGTTTTAATTTGATCTCATCCCCCTTTCCAGCAGGAAATCCCTTATAGAAAATCCAAATCCTCTTCTTTGAGTTTCTCCCTGAGCCAGGGCAGCACTTGGAAGAGGTTGATGTGAAAGTCTCGGGCATGAGCAGGTACCTGCCGCCACCGCCTCTGGTCTTTGCAGACATCCACTACACCCCAGCTGATCACACCAACCTGGAGAGGGCAAGGGGATGCCACCAATCATCTGGTAGAATTCCTTCCTAATCCCAGGAAGCTCAACTACTCCCAAGTGCATCTGAGTTGACCTAGAAGAATTAGACTGGGGACCCAGCTCAGTCCTGCTCTCTAGCACACAGGCCAGACATTGCCCCAACCCGGCCATTTCAAGAAGTAGATGTAAGGAGGCAGGCTCTGTCCTTCCCTTTCCAGCCACATGCGTTGAACTTTCCTGCTTTAGGGCCCATGCTGACCACTTGGCATCTCCCCACAGACAGGAGAGGGGAAACTCACTTGAATGAAGCGACTCCTCTTATGAATAATCAGGGGACCACCAGAATCACCTACAGGAGAGGAGAGGCTGTAGGGAAAACGATTCTTGGGCTTTAGGAACATGTAGCACAACCAAAGAGCCTTCTCTTACCTTTGCAAGTGTTGGGGTCAGTATAGGGATCCACCCCTCCAGTGCAAAGGAACCTGGGGGTGACCACTTTAGAGATGTCCTTGACTTTGTCATAGCCTGGGGCATATTGAGCATCTCTCTCACAGCTGGATTTCTGTAGGTGAGGTATAAAGCACGGAGGAGAAAGGGGTGATAAACAGAGCATGCTTAGGAAGAATTGGGGCCTAGAGGACCTGCTTAGGATCCCATATTCCTCACCTTTTCCCCATTCTTGATGTAGACCTCCTTCCGAATCATCGACTTCTTCCTATCTTTGGACAACTCTGACACAAACAGAGCTTTGACATCCTTTGCAGGGAGCAGCTCTTCCACTGAACAAATGGACAGTAGGGGTCATTTTAGCACTCTCTCTGCCCCCCACCATCTCTCTATTGCCTTTGTCACTCAGCAAATGTCCTTCAACCCTTTTCTGTGGGCTGGAGACCAGGCTGGCTCCTGCAGCACCCTGTCATGCCCCCACTTGTCTCTTGGCATCATTCCCTTGTGCTACTTTCCCTGAATGTCTTACTCTGTTGCTGGCAGGTGGTTGACAGTGGAAGCCTCAAAGCTTGATTTGTTCCCTGGGTGCAGGGGAGACAAATAGGCCTGTTAAGGGAGATGGGGAAACTCAGGGACAGCAGACTTGACCTGCCCCAGGCCTGTAGCCCCAATTTGCCCAGACTTTTCTCCTCAGGGGTTCAGAGGGCTCACCTGAGAGTCTGGCCATACTTGAGCTTCTCCTTGAGTCTGATAAGGGCCACATCGTAGTCATAAAATTCAGGAATGCCTTCTGCTTTTTTCCCATTGATGTCGTAGTTAGGGTGAAATAGGACTTTATCTATTTCCAAGTCCTGCTTCATCCCTCCTAAGGTAGGAGAGTGGGTATGTCAGGACATCCTACTTCTCTGGGCAGCCTCCTGCTTCTGGCTCCACATTCTTCCTAACTCCCAAGTCTTCTGCCCTGCCCCCAAGCAGCCCAGTGTGCAAGGGAGGGGGCTGCTTTGAGGACCAGGGGAGGGGGGGGGGGTTGGAAGGGTGGGCTCCTGAGGAAGTAGAAGGTGTTGCCCAGGGAGCACAGCTGAAGCTCAGGATTGATTCACTGCATCCTTACCCACGCTGACCTTGATTGAATGATTCCGATCATCCACCGTGAAACAGTGTGCTGCTGTCAGCACGTAGTACTCAGACACCACGGCCCCCATACAGGTCTCATGTCCTTTCAAAGGGCGCTGGGAACAGAATGGCAGGGGGGAAAGCTTAACTTCCACAAACACCACATTTTGCCCTTCCCCTACCCCCATTCCACCTGACCTCACCTCCCACAGGTCCCCACCACCAGGAAGCTGTGCTTACAGTGACTGAGATCTTGGCCTGCCACGGTTGCTTGTGGTAATCACTACCTTTCTTGTGCTCCCAAACCATTCCACAGAGTCCCAGAGTCCGGGTTTCATCTAACAAGAAAGGAGAATGTGCTGAAACCTGGGATGCTCGGCCTTTCAGGGAGGCCCGCCTACACAGCTATGAGGAGCAGAAGCCCATAAGGAAAAGAAAGGGGCATTTGTTTTCTTACATTGGGGGCAAGGAACTGTGGCAGTATAGTGAAAAAAAGTTGGAACTAAGAGTTGGGAGACCTGGCTGTTTTCAGGCCCAACGCTTGCTTGCTTGCTGTGCCTGGGCTGCTCTTGGCCTCACTTTGCACATCTGTGAAATGAGAGACTTGACAAGATCTCCAATGTTGTTCAGAACTCGGTGATTCTAAGATCAGGAAGTGGATAATGCCAGGAGACCAGAGTGTGACTGAGGTAGAGAAGGAGCAATGAGAAAGCCATCCCAGACTGCCAAGGCTTCAGGAGGAGAGGAAGTATGAGTGACCTTGGGATACCTGGGGGACTTCCTGACCTCTTTATACCCTCCTGGTATCTTCCTACCAAGCATTTGTTTGAAAACATCTTCCAGGTCTTCCATGTCCTTGACTTTGAACACATGTTGTTCTTTATCCTTCTTGGAAGCCAAAGCATTGATGTTCTCTTGGTTCACCAGAGGCCCAACCCCAAACACATAGACATCTGAGGGAGAAAGAGGGAGGGTGAGTGTCCAAGCCCTGGGGGCAGGAGCTGAGAAAGCAAGGTGCTGGGTCCAAGGCCAAAAACTCACCCAGATAATCCTCCCTTAGGTTTTTGCGATCCCTCCCAATGTCCAGCAAGCTCCGGATCTCATGAATGACAGAGACTGGGTCCCCACCCATGTTGTGCAAGCCTGCAGAAGAGACAGGGACCGTGAAGGTGAGAGGCAAGTAAAGAAGAGGGTCAAGGAAGATAAATTGGCTAGTAGTGACACATGGCTGGGTAAGCAGGTTGTTTTTTTGTTTTTAATGGCTGAAGGTAAAATTTCAGCTTTTTAATTTAAAATTTTTTTTAATGTTTATTCGTTTTTGAGAGAGAGTGGGGGAGGGGCAGAGAGAGGGAGACACAGAATCTGAAGCAGGCTATAGGCTCTGAGATATCAGCACCAAGCCTGACAACCGGGCTCCAACTCACGAACTACAGGATCATGACCTGAGCCGAATTCAGCCCAACCAACCACACCACCCAGGTACCCCTGGGTAAGCAGGTTAAGGGGATGGAAGTGACAGAGAGACTTAAGAAGGGTGTCTCCTTGTAAAGGGTCACAGGAAAGATCAACATGGTTGGGGCCCTCAGTGCTGCTCAGAGCCCCAACCATGAGTCTAGTGTTATATGTGGACCAAACAGCCATACACTGGTATGAAAGGGTGGGACGCCTGGGGCAGGAAAAGGTCCCTTCTGACCATCAGTCATGAGAATGATGACGTGGCGGGTGCGGTTCCAGCCTTCAGGGGGTTGGTTCCCCGGCCAGCTCATCATGTTGTAAATTGCCTGGAGGGCCTTCTTGGTGTTAGTGCCTGCCTTCAACTTGTGATCTGTGAAAAAGGAAGATCTCACCTTCCCTGGTCTTCCAAGTCATCTATGAACATTCAAGGCCTATCACAACTGAGATACCACATTTTTCAGTTTTTTGAGTTGTCACCCCACTGACTTCCCTTTGACCACAAAGTGACCTTCTCAGCCCCCAAGTTCCCAGTAATCCATATTCCTCAATGAGCCTGCTGTCCAACCATAGACTGCAAAGTGGTCCACCCTGCCTTCCCACTTGGTCTCACTACCTCCTCCTCACAACAACCCTGAACCTTTTGACTTCTCTGACCCCAAAGTGAACTCCCCACCAGTCCCTTCCCTAACCTCTGACCTTCATAGTTGATATTGTCGATTGCCCTTGTAACCCAGTCTGCATCGCTGCTGTTTTCATCGGACACTCTGATCAAAATTTTGGGGACTGTAGCATAGGTCACTAGACCATATTTTGGCTTCACCCCATAACTTGCCACCTGTGGGTTAGGGGAGCAACGGGTCATGGCATTGAAAGAATACTATGGTTGGGAGAGGTCAGCAGCTTTTCTGGGACAGGGAAAGTTACAGTCAGAGACTCAAGGGCTGACTGATCACCCTGAGGCTGATGGATGATTGGGTTAAAGGTCAAGAAACTGCTTCCAGTAAAAGGAAGGGAAGGAAGACAGAATAGGACCAGAGGTTTTCTGGGACCTTGTGTCTCAGAGGGTCTGGAAACATCAGGGAACTAGTCCTGGCTGGGCAGTGAGTTCACATTCAGGGGGGAAGGGGACCCACCTTCTCAATGAAGTCTTTGAGACAGTTCTTGGCCCTTGTGAAGTTGCCGATCCCAATGCTGTCTGATGCATCCAACACCAGATAGATGTTCATGGAGCCCGAGGGGTCCAGGATAATCTTCCTCTTCTGTTGTTCCCCTGGGTGCCACCAGAGAAATTCAGGCTCCAGCATGCATGGTTCTCCTGGCCCTTCATCCTCCCCCAATTTCCTGCCTCCCTCCCCTCTCTGCCTCCAAACCTGGGCTATGCCCATCCTCAGCATCTACTCCTTCAATGGTCTCCGTCAGGGAAGACAGGAAGGCTTCGGCTACCTCTTCGGGGATGTCATACATAAAGGAGTCTGGGAGAGGTCAGAAATCAGGTAAAATGTCTGGGGGTGTTGGCAAGGGTGTGAGGGTCAGAGACACAGTGGCCAGTGAGGTGGGATGG